GGGAAAGAGACAGGGGGGTGGGAAAAGAGAGACACTCACTGGGGGGAAGGGGGCAACTCCCCCACACACACAAAGGGAAGCTGGTCTGAGTATGTTTCCAGCCTGTCAGCGTACTTGTAAGTCCCTGAGCACCTCCTTCTTGGTTTATCCCCATGTTGGGCTTCTTTCTCTATGTACCCCGTGGGTGTATTTTCCATATGTCTGTATGCACCAGGGGAATGCTTCATGTACGTATGCACATGTGTGCCTCTGGGCATCTCTGCCCACTCCATGTATGTGTCTTTCTGCCTGTGCATGCATCTCTTCTGTGGGAATGTGTGTGCACGTAGGGTGTCCCCGTGCTGGTGTTTGTAGGACTGCCTGTCTGTGTATTTGTCTGTGTATTTGTCCCAGGCCTTTGAGTTTGGAGGTTTGGGGTGGAAGGGGTCTTTTTCCCCCCTTTCTTAACCAATATGAGCTGGCCAGGAAAGGGGGAAGGGGAGGCATGAAGAGTTGGCCACTTTGCCTCTCCAAGCTTTTTCACCTTGAAAGAGGAGAGACAGCAGTCACTCTGGGGACTCCAAGAAGGAATTTCTCTCTGGCTCTCCCAGGTCCAGCAGCCATGCTGCTCAGATGAGGGCAGGGGGCGGGACAAGGAGAAAGGAGAGCTGATGAATCACCTCCTCTTGGAATAGGAGAGATGGGAGAAAAGGTGAGACATGAAAAAGAAATACTTTGGAGTTAGTGAATTTTTCTTTTCCATCAAAATTGTTAAAACATTATTCACCCCTTAAAACAAGGGCTCCCAGGGAAAGGGGGATCCCTAGTCCCTTGAAAACTGGCTACATTGTGGGACAGATTTTAGAAGGGTCTTTGTATAGGATCTGAAGCCCCATGCCCACACCTTTGGCTCAGCCCCTGCCTCCTCATCTCTAGGAACGCTAGTCTCCTCTCTACACCATCACTTCTCCCTCCTGCCTCTACCCAGGTAGAATGAGCCCTGGCAAGGGAAGGGTTAGCTCAGGTGAGGTGGAGGTGGGAAGCACCTGCAGGGAAGGAAGAGGCTTCAGTGCCTCTGAGGACAGAGAGGAGATTTGCAGCCACTACAACCGAAAGGATTGAGATTAGACTCCAGGCAGAACTAGAAAGCATCAGAGCAGGGGAGAAGAGAGAGTGGGTGGATCATCACCTCCTTTGGGAGCAGGAAGTCAGTGTGCACCTTCTCTGGTCTTTCCTCTCTGCCCACATCCTTTATAAATTTGGGGGAAGTCCTTGATCTCCACGGCCCCGTCTACACAGGTTTCAGCTACCCGGATAAACATTCCATTGACTCTGGATACAATCCCAGAGGCAAGTTCAGGCATCCAAACTCGAATGAGGTTTAGAGCTGAGTAATCAGTGGCTATGGCTATGCAGACATTTTGCTGGGGATGAACCAGCTCCCCACCCCCACCTCACACGGCGCGCTGCGGATTTGGGGATGGGGGAGGGGCAGCCTGTCACTTGGTGTCTTCCCACCCCCCTCCCACCACCACATTCTCCCTCTTCCCACCTGCAAGTAATTTGGCCAATGGGAGGGCAGTTAAGATTGCAATATGGAATCCCTCTAGAGCTGCGTGTGTTTGGTGAGGAGGGGGCTCCCTCCTGCCCCCTAGACCCCTTGTGCCCTTTTTCCTCTTCACAGCAGCAAATTACTTGTAATTATCTCACATTGAGAACCTTCAGGAGCTACTCCCCAAATTGCTTTAATTGAATTAATTGAATCTCATTTTGTTCGGGGAGAAAATGGGGGCATGTTTTAAAATAGCGTACGGGGAGAAGGAAGAGGAGTAACTCAGAGGGGAGGGGAAGCTCCAAGTCGGGTTCTTTGTGGCCAGGACCATAGCAGGTGGTAGAATGTGCCCTGGGCTCTCTGTCCCCGTCTTCCAGTCCCATCTGATTTCAGATGCCTGGTGCTCCCGGCTGTTTTGCATATAAGAGCTTGTCTGTGTCCTGCTCTCAAATGGAGGTGACCAGCAATGAGTTGGAGCTCTCCAATCTCCACCCCAATTCCCCCTCCCACCCTCAGGAGGCAAGTCTGCCAGAGGCAAGAGATGAATGAATGGCAGAATGAATTCACGCTCGCCGTGACCCCTACCCTCCCTGATAATCATAACAGCACCTATAAATGCCATTTATTAAGTGCCTTCTGTGTTCCAGGCACTGTGTCAAGCATGTTACAAGCACTGTCTCATTTTATCATCACAACCACATTGTGAAGCAGTTCCTATTAGTATTCCCACGTTGAGGAGGGCAGGGATGAGGCTCAGAGAGAGGTTAGGTAACTTGCCCCAAATCACAGAGCTAACAAGTGGCAGAGTCGACTCTTTGGAGGTCAAAGTCCCTGTTCCTTCCGTATCCAAGCCAACCTCCCCAGAGGGGTGTCCTCATGATTCGACACCGCAGGGTTCCCCTTCTACAGCCCAGATTGCTTAAGGGAGAATGGGACACTTCCTCCACTGGGGTTCCAGTCCCCTCTCCACCCAGGAACTCAGGGATCCTGGACCAGCCCCTAAGTGGAAAGGGATTCTTGTTTCCCTGGGAAAGGGTGGATGGGGGTGGGGGGTGTGTGCTGTCAGCTCAGCTGGCCTCTGGCTGGGAGAGTAATTACACTCCTTCTGCTACTTAACTTTACAACCAGGGCTGTTGTTTTAACGATGTGACTCGTGTTGGGCTGTCCAATTAATCTCGCCTTTGGAGGTTTTCCGAGATGGGGCGGTAGATCTTATCTCGCTGGTTCTGTAGAAAGAGGAGTGTGCAACCTGCAGTAGGAGGGAACAACTACCCGGAGGCCCACGGCCCCAGAGCAGGCCCAGAGGAGGAGCTAGAGGCAGGGGCAGGTGCTGGCAGGGAGGATGAGAAGATGCTTCTCTTGGCCTCCACCAGCCAGTCCTCCCTCCTCCTGGGTCTTGGCTTTGAGCCACCACCTGCCATTTGCTATCCCCAAGAGAATAGTCCACGTGTGTTTTGGGAAGTGGGGTTGACCAGAACTGGGGCCAAGGAGAGACTTATTGCTGTTTCTGCAGATGGGGGCTTCCCCTGAACTTTAGCCCTTCTGTCCTACATACGACCCCATTTGGGCTCCTCTTTGACCAGCCAGGGTTGCTCCAAGTGCTTGAGTGGGCTTTGCAGACTGGGGCAGGCCCGAGTTTACAGTGCCTGGGAACAGATTCAGGCAGTAAGAGGGAAGCTCCGCTTGGGAGCTTTTGCCTGGAATTAGGCTCAGGCTATGTTATCATCCCCCTCCACTCCAGTTTTCCTAATCCCCGGGGCACTATGTGTGTGTGGTAGCGTGCAGTGGTCGTGAATCTATCCCCGGGTCCAGCTGCTCCCACCCATCAGCCCAAGCTGAACTGGAGCTCCCTGACTATGCCCCTACCGTCCCCTGTGCTTCCTCTTAACCTGGCACTTACCATACAAGCATATGGTCCTTTGGCGTCACATTAACCCATGAGCTCCCAAGGGCAGAGTCTGCCTAGGTCACCTTGGTATCCCCAGGATCCAACACAGAGCATACAACATGTTTGTTGGATAGAGGAGGAAAATTCCAGTTCCTTTTGGGTTTTTCCTCTTTCTCCCTCTTTCCCCTGGTGGGACCTAGCCATTCTACCCCCAAGTAGCACACTGCCCCCAGGATAAGATTTGCCCGGCTCAGTGGACATGTCCTCTCCAAGGGTGAGCAGGGGTTCTCCCTGGGCTGAAGGTGGGGCATATGGGGCTATGAGACGCCTGGCTCCCTCCTGAACTGGGCCAGCAGAGAATCTGCTGGTAAGGATATTCAAACCTTGGCCATTCCCAGTAGGAGCATTCTCCAGTTTAACACTGGAGCATACGAAACTATGGAAGTTACTAGAACATTCCAGAGCTAGAACCACACAGCTAATTAGTGGTAGAGGCAAACTCGAATTCACTTCCCTTGACTCCTAGTTCAGTGCTTCTCCTGCAAAAGACAGATACAAAGAGGAAGAGCGAAGGGAGAGATGAATAACTAGCCCCTACTCCTGAGAAGTCAGGAAACAAATACACTTCACAGCCAGGGCCTAAGTTTTTGTACAAACTTTAATCTTTGGAAGTTCATGGCGTGGAAGATTGTGAGAGTTTGGAGGATACTAGTCAGGCTGGCTGGAGGGCAGCAAACCAAAGCCCTCAGGCCCCAGGAACCTTTATAAATATGAGCAGTTTGTTCCTTTGGCCCCAGACAGTTATGAGGAGCCGAATTGCCAGGCCTACCCCCAACTATCTGGTGGTATCTATACCTGCACTAATCCAGAGAGCTTGTTTGTCTCCACTTCTTCCAGTGTTACCCTACTGGGTTCCCGAGTATCTGTGTATGTGGGTTTGTTAAATGTTGTTGCTGTGTGCTATCAAGTCCATTCTGACACATAGCGACCCTATACGACAGAGCAGAACTGCCCCATAGGGTTTCCTACGCTGTAATCTTCATAGGAGCAGATTGCCAGGGCTTTTCCTCTTTACCTCACAGGATGGTGAATAGGGCGTGCCAGTTATAGGGGTAATGGACGAACCCCTAGGAAAAACCGGTGGATGGGAGCTCACACTGGTCGGTTTTGAAGATTCCAGATGCTCATTTCAGCTTTGGCTCACAAATGGGTTGACCTTGCTCAACCCCCACCCAGCTCACCCAAAGCATATAAAGAGAAAAAATACTGCAGGTTTCTTGCTGGTTTTGATTCTAGGCTATGGCGGGCTGCAGTCCTTTTGGGTAGTGGTAAGGCTAGTGGTCCCGGGGGGAGTCTAAACTCCTGCCAATGACTCTCTCTCTCCAGAGCCTTTGTCCAGTTGGAGGGAGGTTGTCCAGTTCTTGGTGGTGGTGGAAGGCAGTGGTTAAGGCTGAAGTCTTTGATTTAGCTGTTTAGGTTAGGGGGTAAGTGGGACAGGACTACACAGCATCACTTTTTCTCCTTTAGCTCCTTGTCCTCCCCAGAAAATCCATCTGGAGCTGGTTCCCTTCCAGCCCAGAAGGGCTTGGTAGGAGGGCTGGGGACTGATCCGCCCTTCCCAGAGTCACATCATCTGAGGCGTAGCCAGGACATCTGGGGAGTGATGCTGATACCAGGCTCCAAAGCTGTTGCCATAGCCACCAGTGGGCAGTGCCCCTGCCTTGGGTAGAGCCCACAGGGATGGAAGGGGTGGGGAGCAAGGAGACAGGGAGGAGGGCCCCCCAGAAAAGTCCCCTTCCTGCCCCCCAGAGTTCTGCTTCAGGAGTTTCTTGTATTTGGAGCGCTTGTTCTGAAACCAGATCTTTACCTGTGGGGAGAAAAGGGAAGAGAATGAAAGTTCCCTGAGTTCTCAGCTCCCAGCCAGTACCCAGTTCTACCTCTTGGTATGCCCTCCTCTACCTGAGTCTAGCTTTTAACACACACCCACCAACACTGAGGACCAGCTCTAAACATCCCACTGGAGACCCCTGACAACAAGGTCAGGGGACTCATCAGCCATCACAGCTGGGGGGTGAGCACCCGAGAACACATGGGTGATGTTAGAGCTCAGGAAGGATGGGACTGGCCCCACCTGGGTCTGCGTGAGGCCGAGCTGGGCGGCCAGCTGAGCCCTCTCGGGCAGCGCCAGGTACTGCGTGTGCTGGAAACGCTGGTTCAGGTGCTGCAGCTGCAGGCTGGAGTAGACGGTCCTCGGCTTGCGCAGCTTCTTGACTGGGACCTGCGGGCGCCGCTCCGAGGACACCGGGGACAGATGCGGCTTCTCCAAGTCTGGGAGGCAGCGCAAGATGGCGTGTGTGGGAGTAGGGAAGGGGGTGATAGGGTAGGGTGATAGGCTCATTTGCATGTCCGTCTCCGATTAGCAAAAAGCGCAGACGCGGAGGTCGCACCTCAGCCCCGGGCCCCTCTCTCTGCCCTTCTCTGTATTAGGCTTCACGGTCAGTGCAACCTCCACGTTCACCGTGCACCAGGTGATGCAAGACTTATTACTTGCCCTCAGGGGGCTCCCACTCTTGTGGGTCCTGTGACCAGAGGAAGAAAGCGCCAAGGGCCAGAACGAGGGTACCGGCGTCAGGCTTCGGGCGGTGCGGTCGCCCAAGCTTGGGGTGGGGCAGGGCGGAAGGGCTCCGTCGAGGGCCGAGCTGAGGCCTAGAGATGACGGGGAAGGATATTCCAGGCGGAGGGAACTCAACAGTAATGCTCAGAGGCCGGAGAGAGTGTCAGCTTGGCAGCCTCGGGGCTGCGGGAAGAGGCGAGGGTAGGAGGGGACCAGCAGAGGGACGTTGAACGCCAGGATGAAGGCCTTCCCCCCAGCATCGGAGTGTAGAAGTCCCCGGGGTTTGCCGTCGTCTTGACTTCTGTAACGGGCAGCCCCTCTCCCAAGGCACACCCTGCAGGAAAAGTGACCATCTCCCCTCCCCCACGGCCAGCTGGCTCTGGAAGGATGGCTTTTGGGAGGGGGGCTTAGAAGTCCCCCCCACCTCCATCGCTGCACTCATGGAGAGGTGGCGGGGAAGGTGACAGGAAAGGTGATGGGGTTCGGAGAGCGTACAGCTCCTGGCAGCGCCGGCTCGGCCGCTCCAGGACTGCGCTGCGGTGCCACTGCCGGAGAACTGGTCACCTCCGGCAAACCAGGCCCAGCCTCTCAAGGAATCTGGGCCGGGGAATGCCTTTGTGTGTGAGGGTGTGTGTCTATGTATGTAGTTTTCCCTCTACAGAGCCCGGCCGCCCCAACCTGCGCCACTCTACGGGGAAACCGGAGGCCCTCCCATGTGGACGGGAGGGGTGGGGTGAATGCAGAGACCGAAATGCTTCCGGACTTCGGACGACCTTCGCTGTCTTCCACGCTGTTTGCCCAACCGTACCCAGCCGCTGAGAGCGCTGGGCTCCAGTACCCAGCCGGCCGCGGCGTTTGTCCGTCCGCGTCTCCCCTCACCCCTTGCCTCCAGTAGGGCTCACCCCACACTCGTTAGGTTCGTCTCCCTTGGCCAGCCGCGGTCACCATTGTTCTCACCTCCCCCGCATCCCTTACCCGTGGCCTCGGGGCGCTGCAGGCTTCTCAGATCCACCACCCCTGCCAATTCCCGGAAAAACCTTTGGTTTCCGCTCCGCCCGCGCCTGTCCGGCCTCTCCAGCTCGACCCCACTGCTCGCAGCCCAGGGCTGGAAGCCGAGCGACCACCCGCACCTCTCTGGCTGTGTGGACTGAGCAATTGCGGCGGTGACACCGAGACCCGCGGCAGGCAGATCCAGCTGCTAAACTCTCAGAGCCCTCCGCGCCTCGACTCTCCGAGCAGACCGCCCCTCAAGTTCCTTCCCTGACAGCAGCCTTTCCCCACATCAGTTGCTGCAAGTCACGACTGGCTCGCCCAGGTAGCGACAATGTAGCCCAAGGGCCTCCCTCAAGGCGCCAGCAGCACCGCCGACTCAATGGGATGTTAGCCCGCAGCTCACTTGGAGCCAAACCTCTCCCTGAGGAGGGGTGGATGTAGGGTGAGGATAAAAGGAGGACCCCTGTCACACTCCAATAGCTCACTCTGAAGTAGGTCAAACCCACCAGTTTCAGTAGTAAAATGCCATAATCTGTTCTAAGAGCGTTTGTGTGTGCGTGTGTGGTTTTTTTCGCTGCATCCGGGAAAGTCCATAAGAAAAGGAATTCTCCACTGGCTGGTCCTTACACCAAGCAAAGGGAAGGCAAGGCATGTGGAAGACAGTAATGCAAACACCAGTCCCATTTCCAACAGTTCTCTTAAAGACAAGGTATCTTATTCCTCACACACACACCCAAATATACTGTACTAGCATATATTTAAAGTAAGAGTCCAAGGGATTCATTTTAGAAGCTAGATCTGTAACCTCCTCTCTCCCCCCGAACTACCCCTCACCCAAGGACAGACCCAGAAGTCTGGGAGAGGCAGTTCCATTTCTGCCACAGAAGACAGTTAACTTTTTGGGGCTCTGAGAAAGTTCCCTAAAATCCTCTTTACTGGCCCCATACAGTGAAAGTCAATTTGCAAAGGTCAAGAGCCTGGAAAAGAGGCTGTGTGCTGGTTTGTCCATCTGTACATCAAGAAGGTGGAGTGCCCAAATCTCTAGGGTCACCTCTGGCTCTAATGGTTTATGAGCCCGGGCCAGAGGCTGGTGCACCATGTGTAGGGGCAACAGGGGAAGGGAGGGGGACATATCTACCCTGGGCTGACTCCAGCAGAGTCACCGGGTGGATGTGCATCCTTAGAAGAGTCTATTGCAGCAATGACAATTGTGGCAGGGAGTGCAGGGGACCTAGAGTCTAAGCGGGAGGCAGTGCAGATTGGTGTATGCATAGTTTCCGTGTGTAATGCCCATGCCTACGCTATTTGTCTGCTGAGCTGTGCGAGGCTTCACTGAGGCCCCCCGCTGAGCACTTTCTCCGGAGCTCAAAGTTGTTCCAGATAATGGCAACTGGGGCCTAACCTATCCCAAAGTCAAGGGGTGGAGATGACGCAGATGGCTTGCTCCTTTGGCTGGAAGGCAGAGGTAGCCAAGGTCTCCAGTGGGGGGCTGCTGGCCCTGGGCTGTGGCTACCTTCTTAGAACAATGGCTGAGAGGATCCTACCCCTTGATTCCGCCAGGCCAGCTTCCAGCATTGGTCTGACAAGTTCGGTGGAGAGAGAGAGGGGGCCGGGAAGGGAGAAGAAGGAGCTCCGAATAAGCCCACTGGTCTAGTGCCCTCCAACCGGGGCCTGATTTCTATTTATCAGGGTTTGGTTTGAGCATTGCTTTCTGAGACGAGAGGAACGCCGAGAGGGCGACATAGGGAAGGGAGGGTGTGCACGAAGGGGAAAAACCTGGGGAAGGGTCTAGACCCCCCCCCCCACATCTGGATTGTTTCAGTTTTCCGTTACACGTAGGTACACACAACCCTGCTGCTCCAGGGGGTGGGGTAGGGAGCCCTCCCGCCTGGCTTCACACAACTGCAAATCGAAACCGGGTCGGTCTTGAAAGGAGACCTAGATCAATTCGCCCCCGCCCCTCCCCCCACGTCTCCCGCCCCATCCTTTTGCCCTCCCCCCACCCCCAGATCCCTTGGAATCCGAGTAAGGCTGGAATCCCGCTAGCTGCGCCCGACCAGGCGAGGGCGAAGTTTAGGGACTCACAGGAGCCAGCTCCCGGAGGTGGAAAGGAGCGTCACGGCAGCACTTACCTGCCTCCGGCTCTTGCGAGTGCCCGGCGGGGCCGCGGAGGGGCTGAGAGGGCGCTGCGGCTTGCTGAGAGGGCAGGTAGGAGTCTCCGGGGGTCGCTGGGCGGGTGTAAGGGTAGGGCAGGAGGTGGCCATACCGCCCAGAGTAGGACAAATCGGAGGCGGCTGCGGTTGCTGAGGGCAGGCCAAGCGGGTAGGCAGCCACTACCGACCGGGCGGGGGCGAGGTCCGGGAAGATGGCTTTGGAGGCGTCCTGGCCGAGGAGGGGGCAGGGCAAAGAGGTCATTGCGGCCGGAGCCCGGCCCGTAAGGCCTAGGCCATGGCCTGGCAAGTTGTCCGCTCCCTCCGCCAACTCTGTTTTCCGCGCCTCGGGCGTCGGGTCCCGGTGAGCCCCCCGTCGACCGCCCCCACACTTAAGATCCCCGGGAAAGTGTCTCTGTGCGCGGTCTCCAGCGGAGACCGCGCTCCTGGAAAAGGGGTTCCGGAGGTGCCTCCATGGCTTTTCCCCTCCCCCCTAAACCCATGGGGGCCCCATCCTCTTTCTCTAGGGTTCGGTTCTCGGGAACCGACGAGGGCCCCCGCCTACTTAGACGCCCGGGATTGGCTCCCGCACTCGGTGACCTCACGGAGGCCTGGAGCTCAGCCCGCCCCACTCCCCGGGGAGCCCGCGGCGGGGAATTTCAGAACTGGGAGAGGGGAGCGGGCGGTGCACACGCCCCAGGCCCGTTTATCTCGGTGTCTTTTCCGAGAGAGGTGCCGGAGTTGCAGGGTGCTTGGTGCCGCCGGGGAACCTCGGTCCCAATAGCAGACACGCGAGGGAGTTGGCGGGTCTGGGAAGTTGGGCGAGTGGAGCAGCGCAGCGGCGGAGACACTGCGGCTCTCGGGCGCAGGGAACCTGCATTCGCGATCTCCAGCTCACAGAGGTCTGCAGGGCGGCTCTGGTCCCGCCGCCACCAACTGGCTGGCGAGTGGAGACCGAACCGTCAGTGCCTGCAGCTTATTCAGCGCGTCGGAATGCGTCGCTGCCGAGCGCCGGTATTTGTTGGTAAACAGACGCCGGGCCGGGGGAGGTGTCGCCGGCGCCTAGGCTGCCCCGCACGCGCGCCGCCCTCACGCCCTGGTGGGGCGCCCTGCGCCAGGCACGCCGCGACCGCCGCAACTGCGCCTCGCCGCCCCCCGCTCCAGCTTCCGTTTCCGGCAGGGGCCCCGGGTTGGTTGCGATAACAAGCTTCTGCTGGCCCCCGCAGGCCTCAGGATGGATCCGCCGTCTGGGCTTTTGCCCATGCGGCGCCCCGCCTTTTCTGGCGTCGCGTGAGACTGAAGCCTTGCCCAAATGAGGACAAGACCCGGCGGCGGGGAGCGAGTCCGGTTTGATGGCTCCTCGGAACCCGCAGGAAGTACAGCAGGCCGGTCTCCGTGGCAGCATTTTCCAGGCTATGTGCAAGACCCGACTCTTAACACTAGTATCCACGGCCTTAATGAACATGTGTTCACGTATGCAAACATCTATTCTGACATGTAGACAACTACCTAGAGACTCCACTCAACTACAACATATACATTCGCAGATACCAACACACCGGTGTTCACATTAGCGTCCCTCAATGGACAGAAAGGCTCATTTATGGATCTGCAAACACACTATATAGGTTTTAATGTATCCACATCTATATACATAGAGATGAATAGCAGTATCTTTGCATAAAAGCACTATTACTTGTCTCTTACACAGACCCATGAGAATACCAGCCAAATCGCTGGTGTATACAGTCGAAATACAGAACATCCAAGCATATATACACGTGTACCTACCCTATGAGAGATGCCTGCCCACACACATCTAAACTGCTTCATGATAGGACACAGCTACATCCCCAAACCCTCCTGTCCTCACAGCATACCCGCACACCTCCCACGTGTGTACACAACCGGGACATGAAGATTCGTGTATGTATACACACATGCACTCAGTATTGGGGCTCAGAGTGAAGGTGGCAGTCTTCAGAATTGGGGGTGAGGGAGAGGACAGCATTCAGGGAAAGAGGGAAGCCTGGAAGAGTAAGAGAAAGCAAAGGGAGTGGCAGGGCCCAGGCCTCCTTGGAAAGACAGGAAGATAGACAGGTGTGCAGGGGTGTTTCAAACCCCAGTCAGATGTCTGGGAGGAGGTGTGGAGTTGAGTGCCAAATGGCACTCGACCTTCAAGAAGAGCAAGTCCACTTCAAACTGAACTCCCCCCTCCCCCCTCCCAATGAAATGGACAGATTCGAGATTTTCTAAAACATTCCTCTGGCACCTGACTCTGAGCTTTCCTCCCTGACGCCTCAGACCTCTGAGGGAAGGGGCTATGTAGGGGAGCCCCCTCATCTGGGCAGCTGGAGAACCTTCTCCTCTCATCCAACAGGGTATGAAGCATTTACTTAGTTGAAAAATGTTATTTTTACATGGGACCACTTTCGCCCGCCCTTCAACACCAGCAGTGCTGCCATCTCCTTAGAGTTGGAGCTGTGAACCTAGGAGGATGTATCCTTCCAACCCTCCTTTCCACCATCATCCTCCTCTGGAGGGAGGCAGCCACGTGGCATACAGTGCCCCGGTGGGTTCCAAGGATGTGTCTCAGGGTGCATCAAAGGAAGAGAATGCCTTTGGGGGGTGGAGTTGACTGTCAGGGGAGGCTTCAGAAAGGAGGTGCTTTTGAGCTGGAATTGAAAGGTCCTCTCAGGGCTGGTTCCAGAGACATTTCTGTGCTGGAGCTGGCAGAAAGGGGCAGGAGTGGGTTTTCTGGCAGGGTCTCTGCAGCAGTTGTGCTTGGGCAGCCTCCAAAGCAGGCCACTCTTTAGAATTTATGAAGCACTCACTACATCTAAGCCTTGTACATCTGTGCACGCGCGCGCACACACACACACACACACACACACACACACACACCTGTGAAGTAAGTACTATTATTCCCATTTTACAAGTAAGGAAACCTTTCCGTCCATCATCCACTCCCTCCTCAGGCTCCTCAGCCCCGCACAGATGATCTGATCTGCCCTCTTCCCACATGCCAGAGTGGGGGCTAGGGCACAGACTGGTGAGAGATTTCGGGGTCTCCTCAGATGCAGACTTCCCTAGAAGGGGTCCCCTGGGACATGAGCCGCATCTGGACATCTGGGCCTGGGGGACTTCCAAGCCAAGATGGGAAAGGTGACAGAAACGGCGCGTGGGGACTAGGAAGAGCTGACCACGTAGGTCTGATCAGGAGAGGGGCGGCCTGAGAGGCCTGAGGTTTGGGTTCTCATCGGTTCTGTGATATGCTGGGTCAGTCATTTCCCGTCTCTGAGATTCAGTTTATCCTTCTGTAAAACGAGAGAGCTGGACTCAAGACCGCCAAGCCTTTGCCCTTTGCTTTAGGATGAATTACAAAAACCCAAATCCAAAAACATAATAAAACCAAGAAGAAGGCGAAGAAAGGAAGGAGAAACCAAAACAGAAACGAACTTCTCCGTCACTACAGCCTCTGATTCGTCACAAAAGCTAGAAACGGCCCTCCGGCTCTTCCCCACTCACGTCGTCAGGTTCACACTGCGCGAAATGGGCCCGCTTTGGAGAACCCGAGCACCGAGCGGCGACGCCTTGGGGGTCGACCGCAGGGTCCAGGACGGGGACGCATCGCAGCGGGGGTCTTGGGATTGGACTTGATGGACTTGTGTTTGCAGGCTTTTCACAGGTCACCCCGCAAACGCCCTCCCACCCTATCCGGTAACGACTCCTTGCGCAGAATAGGCACCCGCGGTAGGGAGATACATGCCTTGCTCGAGGTCACCCCGAGTCCTGACCTTCCCTGAAGCCTAGGATTCCATCTTAACCAGTGTCCCCTCCCAAAAGTTCATAACCGGCACCCCAAACACGTGGTGGGCGCGCAGAGCTCTGCGCGCAGCGGCTGCGCTGCTTACGGTGCTGGCAGAGCCCGCTGCCTCCCGCGCCGGATACAAGCTCCGAGGAAAAAGGGTCGGAGTCTGTGGCTAGAACTCGGCGCAGGGGTCTGCAACCCCACGCACTCTGCACGCAATGCTGTGTGGATCTGCCCAGTGGAATAGAGATTTCCCTGCGATCCTTGCCCTCGGCCCTCGGCGGCCATCCGCGCTTATCCGCGCTCCTTCTCCTCCATCCCACCCACAGTCCCCAAACGAAATTTTAGTTTAATTTTGTCCGTTCTCGATAAGTACTAGGTTTGATTTGGCGGGGGCTTTGTTAGTAACGCAGTTTGGGGAAACTTTGTGAATAATTCGGTTTGACGACTGCAGGTCGAGGGTTGGAAGGAATCGAATCGTTGCCCCAGCCTCCCTCGGCTCCACCCAGTGCGCAGTGGACTGAGCCCTCACATTCAGCGAGGCCCAGGAAGGGGCAGCCCCACCAAGCGCAGAGACCTGCAAGCCCTACTCGGATGTGACTCTTTCATGAGGTTGTGATTTATTCCGTCTCTTTCTGATCGAGCATTTTAATGAGCCCTGGCGCACGTGGGTCGGCGGGCTGATTACTGAGGTCACCACGTGCCCAGCCATGCTGTCGGTTTGCCCTCACCTCCAAGCAGAGAGATTTCTCCGGGATTGGAGTTCCCGCCTTACTTCCCAAATAACCCGGGCGAAGCTCTGGGGGAGGGGCGAAGGTTGGAGAGGGAGAGGCCGTCGGGTCAGTGCGACCTGGATCGCCGAGTCGCTCTGCCTTCGCGTTCTCCTCAGATGTTCTCCGGCTCCGCCCCCAGCGACGCTCTCCCGGCGTCTTCTTCGCTTTATTTCCAAATAAATCTTCCATTTGGGATTGACCAACCAAAAAAAAAAAAAAAAAAACCAAACCCACTGCCATCGAGTCGATTCCGACTCATAGCGACAAAATACACACATATATGAAGTCTCAAGTAAACAACTCTTGGACCATGTTCCCCCCAGAAAAACAAAGTTAATAAAAAATGGGGTGGTTTTGTAGGTGCGTTGGAGGCGCTTTGCGCAGCAAAGAAACCACGCAGCGCTGAACTTGTCAGAGTGCCAGAGTGGGATATGTTCTGGGCTGGGAGGCGCGTGGGCTCTGGGCTCCGCGGCGGGGGCGCCGGCATTTTCGGCCAGGTGTTCCAACCCCAAGCCCCGCAGGCCTGACGGAGGAGCCCGCACCCGCAGCCGCGCGGACAGACAGCCGGAGGGCGCTCCAGAAGCCCCGGGGTGAACGCTGCAAGCTGGCCGCAGGCCCCGCAGCCAACCCGGCTGCAACGAATTCGCAGCGCTGCGGCATCAATGTAGCTCGGCCGGGTTCTCAGATCCTCCCAGCACCCGGCATGGAAACTAGGGTGTTCCGCCGACGTCAGCATCGCCGGGCCTGGGTGGAAGCCGGAGATGGGATGTGGGGGGAGTTGGACGGTTGGTCTAGTGGGCCACAAAGAAGCGGGTGTGTGCACGGTCACACGCACCACACACGCACACCACAAACACGCATACTGCCCACACACTTCCACAACCCAGTAGCCACAGCACACACTCCACATGCACCCCCACAACACCCGAAGCACATACACAATCTCATCACA